AGTGCAAACATTGTCAGAACATTGGCAGATCTGCTTTGGACAAGACTGAGCTTGACAGCTTTTACTGTGTGCATCTGGGTTTTCTTGGGGGGTTAGTGAGGGAGAAGTGTGTTTTGTTTTAAGAGCTACTTAAGAATGTTGCATTATAATAATCCAAATTTTAAATTATCTATCTAGCTATGCCATTGAAGATATTAAAAAAGCTGGCATGCAACCTAGTAAGCTGTTTTTTCTGTGCCGGTTGTACCCAATACAGTTTAAACAAATGCAGAACTATTGAAGAGCACGCAGTGCTCTCAAACATCTGATACAATCATTCAGCTCCAATTAAAGATGATGACTTAAAGGTTACAAGACCAGTGTTAGATATGGATTACATGGATGATAGGGATTGGGAATGAGGAGGTAAAAATTTTAAAAACAAAGAAATATGAAAGGTAATTTTTTATTTCATCTTAGGACATTAAAATTGAGGATTGGTGTGGCTTGATCTTTTTCCTTAATTTTAAGAGTCTCAACCTGGTATAAAGCCCATGGAAACTCTTCCTGTCAGCTTTGCCTTTAACTCTCATCCAGCCGCATCACTTGGCCTTTCTCATGCCAGGAGGTGGTGGGAATCTCACCTGTAGCGTTGAAGTGAGCTCTGTAAAGCTGGAATTTGAAAATGTGGGTCTTTAACACATTAAATTATGTCTATTTGTATTAGCCTATAAAATGATGAGAAGTTCTTAGACTAACCTCTTAGCAATCTGCTGTTACATTAAGTATGATTAGTTCAGTTATCTCTTTATTAATTTATCCAACTACATTAATCAACTTATTAATAGAAAAGGTAACCAGGACTTTTTTTTTTTATATATTTTCAGGAAAAAGGGAATCTGGACTAAAACCATAATTCTGCTTGCTAAGAAACTCTTTTGTGCAACAAAATATTGGGTCTTAGGACATGTTTGCTTTACCCTGACATGCAAGAAACCCTAAAAGAAGATTATTTCATTTATCTCTCAAAAATCTATATAGTTTTTAAATAGAATGCAAGTTAGCTTCAGAGACTTAGTGGCAAGTAGCAAGTTGGGGATACCCAGGGTCACAAAATCATGATTTTCCAATTTCTGTATTGCGCAATTAGTGTAATGGCTCTTTAAGGCCAACATATACAAAAAAGGGATAAATTATAATTTTGTTTGTGGACCATTATTTATCACTACTGCTTTTGATGATCTGTGTTAATGAAAAGAATATTTAAGAAACTATACAGAAAGCTAACCCAATTCTCTTTTAATGCATTATGTAATTAAATCTTTATTGAGATGTGAGAGCTGTGCAACCACAAAAGAAATGAAAACAAAATAAAACCAGGAGCGATCGTATCTTTATATCTAGACACATATTGGGAAAAAAATCTGTGCATAGAAAGAAAATGTACAGTCTGTCATGTGTCAGGTCACATAAAAGATTCTGACTATCCCACAGATCTGTCCTGCAAATATTAATGCATGTAGTAGGATTATGGAAGTGAATGGTTTCCTTACATACATTAAGATTTCTCTCCTATGCAGCTTAAGACGTACACGCCTGCAAAATTAAAGCCTGTATATTCAAGTCTCTTTTAGCCACTACGAGAACAAGAAAATTAATGGAGCTAAATTTTGTGCAAATAATTTGGGATTTTTCAGGGCGTTTTCAGTGGACGTTACCGGGTTCCAATTGGATTTTATAACGCTGCGTTTTGAGGATAGCCAAGCTGTGGTTCAGGAGACTCGTGTGGTTCACAAGTGGTTCAGGTTGTGGCTGGAGCACATGAACAGCCTCATCCCACGGCCATCAGTGGGAATCTGCAGCTCTGTCTCCCTCAACATCTCCACCGTAACTTCTGCCCCTAGGAAGATCTCAGCAAGTGTTTCAGGTGCAGAAGTTCTAGCTTTCATGTTTAAGACTGGGTTTTACTGGTATGCATACGTGAATGTGCCCTACCAAGTAACCTGTGCTTACAAATGTGTAAAATCTCACCACTGGTCCTGCCCATTTGCACCAGACTATGTGGACTATTTACCCTCTTCACACTGAATAACGTATCCAGAATGGAAAAATGCCAAATTGTTATTTTTGTCACAGAAGTGTAATGTATGATAAATGCTTGGATAATGGTTCTATGGCTCATTATGGAGAGACAACCTTATAATAATATTACCTCAGTAATAATTTTTTACAGTTTTGAAGCTTATAGAATAGCAGTTTTTCCTTTTACTGCCCTAGGAGTTCACTGAGAAATGGGGGAAACCCCCCTATCCAGAATACAAGTTATCTTGTATTTTTGCTAACGTATATAATTACTGATGTGGGTGTTCCCACATCTTAGAATGGAAAAAGTGCTTGCCAAGATTGAAAAACCATAGTAAGCAATATAAATGATTTCTTCTGCACACCAGCATTTCTTGCTGAGACAAGTGAACTGGAACTGTGTTTAAAACCATATAATTATACTCCTATATATCATTTATTAAATCAGATTTCCCCCACCCTGTTTTCTTTCAAGTCACTTCTGAAAGCGCTTTTCTTCCAAAAGGCCTGTTAGCTGGGGTCCTCCCCTTTGAAGAACAATGGAAAAGAATTAAAATGGAAGCAGCTCATCAAGACCCATGTGCCATGTTGCTCCTATACCATCATTATGGCTCTTTGCTTGAATCTTTGTTCTAGCTCTAGTGCCACTGAAGTCTGCTTGGGCCAGAAGTGAGCTGTTGATATGAACCCAGATATCCATGGATTGTACAGAACATTTTGATCATCCAGCCTGTTTTCTCCATGACGCAGTTTTATTTGTCCATTCCTTGGTCAGGGCCAGGACTGCATCTTCAGATAGTCCATGGGCTGTAGAAAGACGTTTGTGAATTTCCTAATTTCACACTCATTTCTATGCTGTTTAAAATATAAAGGAGCTGACCCAGTGTTTTCACACCCATGCAATAGAAAGACTAATGAACAATTTTTTCTAAGTACACAGATTGTGTATGCAAAGGTCCAGTACGCAAATCCTGACTTGTTTGTGCCTCAGGTTGTGCATACAAAAAGCTGTTTAACTTTGAGCCAATACATCTTTCTTTCCAGCACCCAAACCTCACTCAACCCACCTCCTCTGAGAGAGCCTGAGGAAAAGATTTTATACCACGCTCCAAAAGGCTGGGGAGTAAGGCTGTGTTGGACAAAGGGACCATCTGAATATGAGCTGGTACCAGCAGTGAAACCCTTTGCAGCTGCAATCATAGTAGAGGTTCCAGGTTTTGGCTCATTATCAGGGTCCTACCCTCCATGCAATTGGTGTAAGTGTGTGGGGATTGCTACTATTGCTGTTGAATTTGTGGTGTAGGTAGTACCGCTCACGTTCTTAGAATAGCTTTCTCCAGTTTGCACTGGAGATTGTATGCTAAGGTGTGGTAGCATCTTTTTGGACTTTCACTGTGTTGTTTGAAAGTCTAAGGTCTTATTAGAATTGTTCCTGCATGCTGAAACCCTTGCATTGCAGACCACAGTCTGGACAGTGTGTTTTTTTTCAGGTTTAAATATGATTTCATATGATCAAAAGTTGTCAAGATGGCACTGCAGTTTTCTCTTTAGGCTTGCTTTTTCCTTTGGTCATTCTATTAATTATCTGTTGCTGAGAAAGGCAAGTTGTCTATTAAGGGTTTGATATATCAAGGGAAGAAATTCTTTTACAACTCACTTGTATACACATATGATGAAGGTGCATTAGGTTTTAATCTGAATTTCATTTCCATCCCCATGTTTTCCCTCTTCAGTCTGTTCTTCCCTCCTGTCCTTTTTTGCCACTTTCTGTTTTCACTCCTTTTCTCCTTTCAGTCCTTCTGAAGTGCTGTTGAGAGGTGCTCCAGTTCTGGTTGAACCCTTCGGTCTTGTGGTACGAGACTAGAGCTCCAGCAGTTCTCATGTGGTGCTGCTGTATCCAAGCTGTCTAACTCAAATGTGTAAGGAAATGTACTTTAGAGTGTTTTCCTTGTAGTTTAATTATTTTTTTTTAATGGTTAGGTTTTTTTTGTACTACCGTTTTACTGTGTCTTTTAACAAAATGAATCTGAAATGGAACAAAACATCATCAGCTAAAGGAAGATGCTGAGAAGTATGAGAGTTATTTATGCTGACCGTTATTTAGTGAATAACTGTTGTGCTCGGGATCATCCTAGTTAAGGAAGTATTCACTCGCATGAAAAAAGGTACAAGCCATGCAAAACAGAAAGAAACCAAACCTAGTTATAAGAAAAACAAACATGCACTGGGTACCTGCCATGGTCAGAAATCTGCTGAATTTACTGCAAGGTCTGCCATAGGAAAAGTTATAACATACTGTTCTTTTATTGTATTTTCTGCCTTTTATTAACTTGCAAATCTAATTAGGAAACCAATTGGCACACAGTATGCAATGACGGAAGCAGTACCACCTATTCTTGTGGCAGCCTTGGCTTTGCTTTATGGGTGGTCTTTGTTCTTAAAGGCTTATATGAATACCACATATTAGCTGAGCTGGTTCTCCCTTGATGTCTGTGTTGTATTGTACACATGTTGTCACTGTTTGACACTTAAACAATCCAGATTCTTACCCAGCCCGTATTTAGTGCCATAATAAACTTTGAGCATATGTTTTGGAGAGCAATAGTAACATTCATCACCGTAATGTGACATATAAATAAGCACTACTGGAGAGTGTACATGCCTTCAGAGGGCAGAGCTGGACAGGAAGGTGTGTGCCAAAGGGATGTGGTCATCTGCCTTGCCCCTACTGGGCATTTTTCTTCTTTGCCTTGTTTCAGTAGACCAAAATGGTTATTGAAGTGACCTACAAAATTCGCCCTCTACATATGAAAAACACACATTGTTACAAAACTTTGCTAGTGAAACATTTCCTGTTTGGGGCTTTGGCTTAACAAACAGTAGGTGTAAGGCATAAACCATTCCTCCTCTCTCTTCATCTCACTTGCTCTGTCTTTCAGCAGGGAGCTCTGTGGAGGCCTGGTCTGAAGCACTGGTGTGGCAGATGTAGCGTACCAACGCTTCCTATTCCTGTGAGACTCCTGTTGTTTTTAAAAATTCTTGTATTTGAATGGTTTTGTTTCAGTTTTGGGTTTTGTTTGTTGTTTTTTTTTTTTTCTATTTCGGGGTGGGTTTTTTTGTGGTGGTTTTGGTAGAAATTATGAGGGAATCACATATGAAGGGCTTCAGGATCTGACTAGTCCCTTGTTCTGTCTGAGCAAGACTAGAGGCTTACGAAGACTAATGGCAGTATAACAGATTGAAAGTGTGTCCATATCCTGTTGAGCAAACACATTGTGATTCAACAAGAGCTTTGTCTGAACAAGGACAGAAAAGTTGAACCTTGGACAAGGAAATAATTTATGTAAGTCTTAATGAATATATAATGTGGAACGCTAATTATAAAAAAGAGGGTATCTATTTTGATGGCCTGCCTTTAAGTGACAGATCACCTAGTGTCTCCTTGGCCTGAGGAGGACCATCAGCTTGCTGATTACAGATGTGTATCAATCCAGTGAGTGTACCCTCCCATTATACCGATAGCTCTTTAAAGAAACAGATGTTACAGATGAAAAAGAGTAAATATGTGTAAAACTGAAATAACATAAAAACCATCTGCTTTTATTGCTTTGATTAATGCTTGAATTTTGTGTTGTTCAATATCACTGAATGCAAGATAATTAAATAGAGCAGGAAGCAGAAACTTCTGAGAGCTGGTTGTTTGTTATAGAAACACAGTGGTTAAGATAATATTCCTGTGTGTTGATGTAAAGATCTTGGTAGTTCCTTGTCCTGAAGTAGTATTTCTTTGAAAATAAGTGGCTTTTCTGAGGTAGCCTTTCTGCTCTGTACATGTCTGCTCTTCCACGCTCTTGGACTGTGTGAAAGGAGTCCCCTGCAAACTTGTTCACATCTCCCATGAGGGGCTAGTGAGGTGGCTTTGCAGGTAAGAGGCAGCAGATGAAGAACAAGCTTCTACGAAAGCGAAAACTTAGAAATGAAAAAACAAAGCTAGTACACAGCATATTCCATCACTCAAAACCAGCTCATGCTAGTGTTCACTGAAACAAAATAAAGATGAAGCTGCTAGGTGCTGTCAGTACCAACAAAGCACGAGTCTATTCAAAGACAAACTCTTAGTTTCCCATGGCAAAATACACGTGTGCATCAACAATGGGTCCTACTTGAAAAGTGGGATTTTTTCATACCTAACCTTGGTTTGAGTTTTATTCACTGTCCTCGTTAGGAAAATGAGGACTAACACTGCTCACCCTTCTGCCTTTCCCAAACTACAAGCATTTGAGGCAGTATCTAGGACTGGACTCTCCACCCTGATTTCATGCTCTGCATATGCGCACAGCGTGCAAGAGAGCAGAGAATGCATTTGAGAATAAACTGTGTTAGCTCTTGAAGGGAGATTTTAAAGTTTTCATGTTATGGTTGTCTAGTTTGATATAGTATCTGGTCATTGAATTGTATAATTGCAAGAAACATGAGAACAGCAGCATGACCATGAGGTATATTGTATTACAGAATGAGGTTACACAGCACCAAAGCACCACCATATTTCAGTAACAAATGCAGCTTCTGGGGAGTTTTGTGATCATTGCATAAGCTTCACTGCTCCCTAGAAGATGACACTGATTCAGACAGAAAACACTAATTCAGTTCTTGCCAGCAGAGCCAATTGTCTCTCTGATTACATTAGACTGACAACTGGTTTTCAATGTCATTGTCAGCCACAACTTCTCATATATGGTGCAGTGGAGCATGAACCAGACTGCCTTTATTTAATTATTTCTGTCCTTTTCTATATTTGTGAATAAGGCGAATGTGAGGCTCTCCTCTAGCAGTTAGAAAAATGTAGGTGTTTAGATTACAAAAGTCAGGCTTCAACAGTAGTGCCCAGTATTTTTTAAAGGCAGATCCTGAATGTATGTGTCATTCCAAAGAACGAATTTGAAACTATGTACATGTTTGGGTTGGTTTTGTTATTTTTAATGTTGGTTGACTAGAATTGACCTAGGATTTTCTTGATTAAATAATTATGGCGTTAAAAGATTTGCTGAGTATATTTTTTCTGAATTAAGTTGTGATTGAAGACTGCATGAGTTTCCCATTGCAGGCAGTTGCGGTTTAAAGTTTGCCTTGTGTTGGCTGGTGTCATTTGGGCATGCAAGCCTTGTGGTCCATGCTGTGCCAGGGTTTGGATGAGCATGAAGCTCAGTAGATGTCTCTCCAGTGCAATGGAGGTCTGACAGTGGTCCATGCCAGTGCTCCTGCACTAAGCTGCTGCAGCCGTGGTGAGGGTATGGCAATGCAGAGCATAGTGCGTGGGAGCCAGCAGGCAGGCAGGGTGAGAAGGTAGGCTCCAGTGTGCACGCCTTTCAACCAGCACGTGCAGTGCATTGGCTCTGTGTGGTCAGACCCGGTGCGTCCAGCCAGCTCTGTTGTTGTTTAACAGGGAGCATTGTCTTTTCTGGTGTGTCACAGCAGTGATGGGCTGACACCCGTTTCCTTTTTTGCAAGTAGACTCTGGACAGCTGAGACATAGCCCATTCACAAAGCCATCCATAGTGCAGAAAACATCATGTTCTCTGCATTGTCACCCAGGCTGTGGTTTGTTGTGTTGTCTGGAGCACAGGACTTCCAGTACAACTCTGCTGTACTTACATGCACATGTCTGCAACCAGCCTCTTCCCTTCCCTTCTGCTTCCCTCACATGTCATTCCATGAAAGGGGGATTTAGGGAACAGGGAGATTGCTGCAGGGGTTCAGGAGCAGGCTGCAGAAATGCTACTCTTTTGTGCAAGTTTTTCCTATGCCCCCCTCTGTTCCTTGTTCCCTCTCAGCAGAAAAGGGATAAAGTGGAGGGAAGCATTTTTACTTTTAAATAATCTTTTTATGCACCTTTTCTTGAATAAAGTTAAGATTTTTTTTTTCTTTTAATGTTCTCTATTAGGGTTATAAATGTATTGTGAAAAATTTCAGTTACATTTTTTAAAATGCATCGTGTTTCTTGAGGAGCTGTGTGCTTAAGAAAAGAGATTGATAGTAAAATCTAGAGAGGTAGTAGCAGTGAAGGTTGCTCTGTCAAATAATATGCTGTTAAAATAGTATTTTTTCATGAGTTTTATGTATGTTTATTAAAAATACCCCAGAATGTCTTAGAAAAGCAGGTAGTCAAGGAGGAAGCTCCACAAGCTCCCAGTAGCTCTGTGAAAAGCAGCTCTATGAAATAGTTGCTGCCAACTCTTTGTGAATCTTCCATGCCTGCAGAATAAGAGATTTATGTTCTTCATAAACGTGTAGCCTTCTATTTCTGAATTCTCTTCTACTGCTCCCATTGCCCAAAAGTCAAACAAAGCTAACCTCCTCCAGGTCCCAGAGTGAAAAAATGCAAACACACTGCATTTAAAAGTAGATTTAGCAACTCCAAAGTGGGCGATTTGGTTCCACCCATCAAACCGGAGTTCTCTGATCTAAAGTCAGATGGGTGCTACTCCTAGCGAGTTGTGTGCCAAATCTAATTAAGCTTTGCATAATGTCATCTTGGGTGATTTGATTTATTAGCTTTGTTTGAAGAAAGTAATAATAAAAAAAGAAAATGGCTTTGGTAATAAGCTGTTTGAATTCCCTGTGCAAGTAGGCACAGTCCCTCCTGGATCTCCCTGAAATGCTCTTGAGGTGCACAGGTTACTGATGCAATGCTGGGAGCTGGTGCAAAGAGGGTGTTTGGTCTGAGATCCCACCTCCCTTGCTCTTCTGGCTTTTGTCTCAGCATAGGTGTTCAAGTAGTCCCCACTGTGTATAATGATTTCTATTTATCATTTATCTCCATTTGTACCACAGGAACCTAGTGTACTAGAGATGGCTGTTGTGTAGAGCAGCAGGTACCCTCATTAGAACTAAGCATTGGAGCTCACAAGTGGAAAAATAGTCCCAGTGCTAGTGTAGCAAGGTTGCTTTTGATAGCTAAACCAGCTCCTACATATCTGTTTTTGAAGTGTACAAGGTAGATATGTCCTACTGCCTAGATCCTCAGCACCTCAAGTTCTACTGATTCTCATGGGTCATGTTATGGTGGTTGGCCAAGTTATGGTGACTGGCCTTTGTGTCATATCCTGTAGCCTTCCTGAAGCTGGGTCTCACCATTGTAATGCTGGCTGTAGTGTCTTTGGTGTCTCGTGCTTCATGGATTATAGAGGAGGATTTCCTGCAGGGCTCCTGATAAAGCTAGCTCTTATTCTGGCAAGGTTCCTTTTTCTCCTCTAGCCATCAAAGCACCAACTTGTAGGTCTATTGCAGCAAGACCGAAGATGAAGCTGTGTTTGTAAATACCAGCACTGCACTGCTGGTGTTCATCACATAACATGGAAAGGTTTACTGGGAAATGACATGCACTGAAAATTGACAGATAACTGCTTGACTGGCTGCAATAGCTGCCCTAGGATCAGCTGGAAAAGCAGTTGCCTTGGGGTCAGGTCAACAGTGATATTTCAGCATAGAATTTGTGGTAGTTTGAATAAGGGACAACAGGGCTGGGGACTTGGATACTAGGACCTCTTTTCCCAGTCATACTACTTAGCTGTGGCAGGCATAAAAACATGAGCAAGTTTTGCACACCTGCAACTTCTACTCAGTGATTGTTAATTGTTTCCAGAGAAAATGTCTGAAAATCTTACTTTACATTTACAGTGATGTTGAGGATTTGTGGTTCGCAGTGCTGTTGTGTTATTCTGGGGTAGAATGAATTACTTTAAGACACTGTACTCTAGTAATGTTCTTATTGGAGTATGAAGAGAGGTGATGCATGTTTATCTTCACTCTTTTCAGGATGATCTCTTAGAAATTTTCAATGGTTATTGCTGTTATAGTTTGGAAAGTGGGTATTAGTAAGTGTCAGTCTATCTCTTCAACAGTGATATTTCATGCTACTGAATCAATGCAAACAATACAAACACTGTCAGCATGACTTGATGAAACACTTTTTTATGTTTTTTTATTTATGTTTAAGATATTTGAAAAATCACTAATTTTGAAGACTATTCATAGAGCACAATGATTAAATACAAATAATTTTTGCATTTTAGTCCTTTGTATGTTGAAATATTTGACATGATTATTCTGAAAAATCGAGCCTTGAAATGTTATACCAGCTTTACTAGCTAGAAATTAGCCTCTTTTCTTTTTCTTGTATTATTATATAAAAATAAAAATGCACTTTTATTTCCACTGGAAGAATAGAGGTGTAAATGACAATAGATGGTTTAGCAACAATTTTAAGTGAGTTAAAATTAACACAAATGTGAGTTCCCCCAAGATGCTCTCACATTTTTAATCATGATAATGTTAATAATCATGTTAATTTGTTGGGGTGTTTGGGATTTTTACTTTCTTGATCAAACATACAGCTGAACCTTGTGGTGGAAACATTCACCTAAGATAATGATAGTAAACAAATGTCGGTAAATATGCATAGAAATGTTGAGTACATACACTTACTGGAAAACTACTCCTAGCATTTCACTTCAGCCAAGCAGCAGAAACAAACTATGGAGCCTCTTGTAGGTAATCAATGTGGTTTGAATTTTTAATATTAAAATATTCAAAATTTACTTACAGATCCTTAATACCTCCCAGAACTTCTCTGACACTTCATTCCAAATGCCGTAACAGGGGGAAAGGGAAACTAATTTGTTTTGCCAACCATTTTTTTGTCAGAGACAGATGGAAAATGGTCCATTATGGAAAATTCCCACTTCTGTGCAGCTAGATATGACATGAATGTTTGAAGAAGAAATGAAAAAAGTATTTATATTCTCCACGATATCACTACTTTGTGACAGTGACCATTTATCCACTCCATCTGCTCAATGACTGTGGTATATAGAGGAAACTCACAGAGGGAGCTTTGGGGAAGCATGGAAGCTATCTGTGGTTATG